AGGGTGCTGGGGGTGGGCAGGGTGCTGGGGGCATAGGGCAGGGTGCTGGGGGCATGCGGGCAGTGGGGAGCCCTGCAGCTAGGGAAGGCACGCAGGGGCTGGTGGCCAAGGACATCGGCAGAGTCACCCTGGGATGCTGCTAGCAGGGCCCTGCCTTCCTCCTCCTCCTCCTCCTCCTCCTTCTCCCAGCCCAGCCTGGCAGCACCATCTAGTGGCAAAGTGTCCTGGCCAAGCCACTGTCACCTCCCGGGTTGTCCCCTGCCCCGAACCACAACGCTGAAGCAAAGGAGACCCCAGAGCCCACCCAGAAATACCCCATCCCCAAGGATGTTTTGCCCCGGTGCGCTGAGGTCCATGGGGCACAGGGGTGTCCCCGGGCCCCCCTGCCATGCCCCGGGGTCCTCACCGTGACCCTGAGCCCCTTCCTGGGCTGGCAGTGTTGAGGGTGAAGTTTGCTAAAATCTCCCCTTTTCCTTCCAGCAACCTCTGACCTCCCCTGGGAGCGTCTGTTCCTCCCGTGGGTCCAGCGTCCCCGGATCGCCCTCCAGCATCGTGGTAAGAGGTCACTCATGTCTCCCCACTACATCCCTCCATCCGTGGGGTTGGGATGTTCTTCCCCAAACCCTCTCCATCACCCTGGTGGGGCCATGGAAGATGCCAGCCCCAGGGAAGCCCTCGCCGTTCCTCATTGTTTCCTTTCTGCACCCAAAAACGAAGGTGCTTTTCCTTCCTTCCAGGCCAAAATGGACAATGAGGTTCTAGGCTACAAGGACCTGGCTGCCATCCCCAAGGACAAAGCGATCCTGGACATCGAGCGCCCCGATTTGATGATCTACGAACCCCATTTCACCTACTCACTCATGGAGCACGTGGAGCTACCCCGGAGCCGAGAGGTGAGGGTGCCCCGGGGCCACCTGCATCCCCTGGTTGTTTTGGGGGGGCCAGTGGGGGAAAGCCCCCCCCCTAGAGAGAGGGGTCCCAGAGGGCAGATGTGGGGCTGCCAGAATAAACTGCTTCTTGCCTTCTGCAGCGCTCCCTGTCTCCCAAATCCATCTCTCCTCCTCCATCTCCGGAGGTGAGTACCAACACCGCTTGCCCCAGCTCTGGGATGCACACAGGGGCTCCGAGGAGGAGGGGGGCGATGCCGAATTGCCGGGGTCTCGCTGCTCACCGGCTCCGCTTGCCTGCAGGTCATCCGGGAATGGCTGGAGAGCCGGACCCCCGGCAGTGCCCCGCAGCCCACCTCTCGCCAGGGCAGCAGCTCGGCCCGCAGCAGTGTACAGCACTTCCACCGACCTGGTACGGTCCCCCAGCATCATGACACACTCCCCCCAGTGTTGCCTGACCCTGAGCCCCAGCGCAGACCAGGGGGTCTGGGCAAGCACCCTTCCAGAGCCATGAGCTCCCTATTCCCGTCCCCCAACCCCTTTTTTCCTTGCAGAGACCGACACGACGGAGCTCAACATATACAAGAAGCCTCCGATCTATAGGCAGAAAGGTGAGCGAGGGGGTCTGTCCCATCGGATGGGGCACCCCAGGGCGCTGCCTCACCCTCCCTGTGCCCCGCAGAGCACCATCCCGGCGCCCACCACGGGAAGCATCTCATAGAGGATTTGATCATCGAATCCTCCAAGTTCCCGGCAGCGCAGCCCCCAGACCCCAACCAGCCTGCCAAGATCGAGACTGACTACTGGCCGTGCCCCCCGTCCCTGGCCGTCGTGGGTAGGTGGGGAATGGGGGCAGGCGAGGGGGTGGGCTGCACCAGGGGGTTTATCCCCCCTCCAAGACCCCACAGGGGTGCTGGGAAAGGATATAACGTCCCCCTTTCTCCCCCAGAGACGGAGTGGAGGAAGCGGATGGCCTCCAAGAGAGGGGAGGAGGAGGAGGAGGACCTGACGGAGGAGATGAAGAACCTGCGGGAGCTCCAGAGGCAGGAGCTGAGCAAGGTGAGGGGCAGAGCAGGCAGGTGGGCACCCTGGGAGGGGCTGGGGACATGCAGACACTGACCCCCACCCGTGTTGCTTCGCCCCCAGGTCACCTCCAACCTCGGGAAGCTGATCCTGAAGGAGGAGATGGAGAAATCTCTCCCTATCCGGAGAAAAACCCGTTCACTGCCGGACCGGACACCTTTCCACACGTGTATGTGGGATGCTCTTCCTGCATCCCATCCCTTCCCTTCCCCACTCGGTGGCTCCGGCTGCCTGCACCACTGCCAGCTCCCGCAGCCCTGCCTGCACCTCTGACGGTCTCTTGCTCTCTTGCAGCTCTGCACATGGGGAGCTACAAGAGCTCCTCACTGCCCGCCTCTGGCAGGAGCACCCTCACCCGGGTGAGTGGGCAGGCAGCTGCCCCCACGCTGCCAGGGCCACACGGCTTCGGGGGGGCTCTGGGGGTGGCACTGCTCTCATGCTGTCCCCTGTCCCCTTGCAGCTGCAGTCGGCAGAGTTCAGCTCGGTGGGCAGCGAGAAGGGAAGTCCGGGTGAGCATCAGCCCGTGGCTTGGGGATGACCCTGGGGATGAGGGATGCGGGGGTGTCCTTGGGGATGTGGGGATCTCCCCAGGGATGGAGGATCTCCCCAGGGATGTGGGGATGTTCCCAGGGATGGGGGATGCCAGGGCAAGCCTGGGCTCAGCAGAGGGTGGAAAACCACCTCTCGGGGCTTGTCGTCACCCGGGGGAGGATGGGGGGGGCACACAGCAGAGGGTCCCTGGGGCTGAGCCCTGCTCCTCTCTGTTTTCCAGGCCTGCAGGTAAGCAGTCATCTGGCTACCGGTGTGGAGACCCAGCGAGAGGGTGATGTATGTTGGGGGGACAGACGGACACCAGGGCCACCTCTGCGATGTGTCCCATTAGGGAGAGGGGAGTGTGGGGAGGGTGGGTCTGCCTGTCCCTGGGCTGGAGCCCATCACCTTGGCTTCATTTCGGGTGGGAGAGGGTAGCCCTCTGGAGACATGGGGAGTCACGGCTGATGTCAGGTTTTGCCCCCTCAGAACGGCCAGCGTGGGCGCATGGACAGAGGCAATTCGCTGCCCAGCATGCTGGAGCAAAAGGTGAGCGGGGCTGGGGGCTTAGGCAGGGTTGGCGGGGGGCTGTGGAGAGGGTCTTACAGCCTCCCCCCCCCCTCCAACCCTTGCAGATCTACCCCTACGAAATGCTGATGGTGACAAACCGAGGCCGTGTGAAGCTGCCGCCCGGCGTGGACAGGACCAGGCTGGAGGTAGGAGCCGAACTGGGGTCGGGGGTGGCACAGAGAGGGGGGACCCGCCACCCCATCACCCTCCTCTCCCCCCCCGCAGCGGCACCTCTCCCCCGAGGATTTCCTACGGGTCTTCGAGATGCCCCCCGAGGAGTTCAGCAAGCTGGCCCTCTGGAAGCGCAACGAGCTGAAGAAGAAAGCCTTCCTCTTCTGAGCCCGCCTCGGCCCCGAGCTCAGTCCGTGTCGCGCCGTGTAACCGCTTTAGGGCTCTCAGCCGGTTTTTACTAGGATCCCCCCTTCCCCTCTCCCCCGGACCCCCCGGCTCTGCCCCCCTCCTCACTCCTCCTGCGGGAAAAGGGCTTGGGGGGGGGCTCAAGACTGCCTCCGCCGCTCGGCTCGCAGCGGGGTGATGGGGCTGGGGGCAGACCCTGGTCCGGAGCAGGCACGGTTCAGCCAGGAGGGGAGGTGTGGGGGGGGCATCTCTGTGCTTCGTGCCCCCCTCTTCCCCCCAGGCACGCTGGCAGGGGCAGTGCCTGGCTCTGCTTTCGGCTGGCTGGCAGCGTGCCGACTCCGGCACATGGGCAGCGGGGTGGCTTCCCTCCTCCCGGGGGTCAGCCGCCTCCGGCCCCCGCACCCGGGGTGCCCCTCTGCCCCCCGACACGTTCACCCCGAGACTTGGGAAGAGCCTGGGGGCCGACTCACTGCCAGGCCGATGTGCTCCTGGCAAAGCCAGGCCGGTATCCCACCTTGCCCCCGCCTCCAGCCCCCCTTTTAACACCCCCCCCCCGGTCCCTCCTGTGCCAGCTGCTGCAGCGAGGACCGCAAGGACACGTACACTGCCAAAACCTGCCCGGCACTGGGCTGGCAGAGGGTAGGGCTGGGATGCCGGTGAGGTGGAACACTGTGGGATGGGGCAGGGGGTGGCAGAGCAGGGGGTCTCTGAGGCAGCTCCTGTTGCATTTCTAACTGCAGATATGCCCGCAGCAGGCTGATGCACCGGGGGATGCAGCAGGGCGATGGGGCGATGAACCGGGGCGATGCAGCCGGGCAAAAAAGAAGCAGGGCATGGCTCGACGGGCACCGCGGCCACTGGCGTCTGGGCAGCGCTGCCTGGCCCCCCCACGGCTGTGCAGGCAGGGCTTGGCACCAGGCAGCACCTTCCCTTCTCGCACCTTCCCTTCTTGCACCTCTCCCATCCTCTCTTTGGGCACATGTTTTGGGCAGGACCCCTCTGCCCCTGCACCCCTGGCCTCCCCCCCCCCACGCTCCCCAATTTCTGTTTCCAGCCACTTTCCAGCCGCTAGACCTTGTTGGGATGTAAAGAATGTAATTTATCGGGAAATCACTGGCCCATACTTGCCTTTCACTGCTACTCTACAAACGACATATCTATAAATATATATATAAATATGGGTTTGTTTTCTGACTGGACTACAGTGATTCACTTTCTCTGTTTTGTTAGAGTTTATTTTATTTGCTGGTGTCGGAGAATCCGCGTGAGAGTGATTTTTTGCTTACAATTAAAGGTGAAATGGCTTTATCCAGCCCGGCTCCGTTCCTTTGC